AGAGAGAGAGAAGCCAGTGTGCCAATTTCGGTGTTATTTAGCTTGTAAAACTCGAAAAATGGCACCCGAAATTTTATTATTCTTTTCTTTTTGCTAAGCGACGGTGAGGAAGAGTGTGAGAGAGACAGCGATAGAGAGAGAGAGAAGCCAGTGTGCCAATTTCGGTGTTATTTAGCTTGTAAAACTCGAAAAATGGCACCCGAAATTTTATTATTCTTTTCTTTTGCTAAGCGACGGTGAGGGAGAGTGTGAGAGAGACAGCGATGAGAGAGAGAGAGAAGCCAGTGTGCCAATTTCGGTGGTATTTAGCTTGTAAAACTCGAAAAATGGCACCCGAAATTTTATTATTCTTTTCTTTTTGCTAAGCGACGGTGAGGGAGGGTGTGAGAGAGAAAGCGATAGAGAGAGAGAGAAGCCAGTGTGCCAATTTCGGTGTTATTTAGCTTGTAAAACTCGAAAAATGGCACCCGAAATTTTATTATTCTTTTCTTTTGCTAAGCGACGGTGAGGGAGGGTGTGAGAGAGAAAGCGATAGAGAGAGAGAGAAGCCAGTGTGCCAATTTCGGTGTTATTTAGCTTGTAAAACTCGAAAAATGGCACCCGAAATTTTATTATTCTTTTCTTTTGCTAAGCGACGGTGAGGGAGGGTGTGAGAGAGAAAGCGATAGAGAGAGAGAGAGAAGCCAGTGTGCCAATTTCGGTGTTATTTAGCTTGTAAAACTCGAAAAATGGCACCCGAAATTTTATTATTCTTTTCTTTTGCTAGGCGACGGTGAGGGAGAGTGTGAGAGAGAAAGCGATAGAGAGAGAGAGAAGCCAGTGTGCCAATTTCGGTGTTATTTAGCTTGTAAAACTCGAAAAATGGCACCCGACATTTTATTATTCTTTTCTTTTGCTAAGCGACGGTGAGGGAGAGTGTGAGAGAGAAAGCGATAGAGAGAGAGAGAAGCCAGTGTGCCAATTTCGGTGTTATTTAGCTTGTAAAACTCGAAAAATGGCACCCGAAATTTTATTATTCTTTTCTTTTGCTAGGCGACGGTGAGGGAGAGTGTGAGAGAGACAGCGATAGAGAGAGAGAGAAGCCAGTGTGCCAATTTCGGTGTTATTTAGCTTGTAAAACTCGAAAAATGGCACCCGACATTTTATTATTCTTTTCTTTTGCTAAGCGACGGTGAGGGAGAGTGTGAGAGAGACAGCGATAGAGAGAGAGAGAAGCCAGTGTGCCAATTTCGGTGTTATTTAGCTTGTAAAACTCGAAAAATGGCACCCGAAATTTTATTATTCTTTTCTTTTGCTAAGCGACGGTGAGGGGAGAGTGTGAGAGAGAAAGCGATAGAGAGAGAGAGAAGCCAGTGTGCCAATTTCCGTGTTATTTAGCTTGTAAAACTCGAAAAATGGCACCCGAAATTTTATTATTCTTTTCTTTTGCTAAGCGACGGTGAGGGAGGGTGTGAGAGAGACAGCGATAGAGAGAGAGAGAAGCCAGTGTGCCAATTTCGGTGTTATTTAGCTTGTAAAACTCGAAAAATGGCACCCGAAATTTTATTATTCTTTTCTTTTGCTAAGCGACGGTGAGGGGAGGGTGTGAGAGAGAAAGCGATGAGAGAGAGAGAGAAGCCAGTGTGCCAATTTCGGTGTTATTTAGCTTGTAAAACTCGAAAAATGGCACCCGAAATTTTATTATTCTTTTCTTTTGCTAGGCGACGGTGAGGGAGAGTGTGAGAGAGAAAGCGATAGAGAGAGAGAGAGAAGCCAGTGTGCCAATTTCGGTGTTATTTAGCTTGTAAAACTCGAAAAATGACACCCGACATTTCATTATTCTTTTCTTTTGCTAAGCGACGGTGAGGGAGAGTGTGAGAGAGAAAGCGATAGAGAGAGAGAGAAGCCAGTGTGCCAATTTCGGTGTTATTTAGCTTGTAAAACTCGAAAAATGGCACCCGAAATTTTATTATTCTTTTCTTTTCTAAGCGACGGTGAGGGAGAGTGTGAGAGAGACAGCGATAGAGAGAGAGAGAAGCCAGTGTGCCAATTTCGGTGTTATTTAGCTTGTAAAACTCGAAAAATGGCACCCGAAATTTTATTATTCTTTTCTTTTGCTAAGCGACGGTGAGGAAGAGTGTGAGAGAGACAGCGATAGAGAGAGAGAGAGAAGCCAGTGTGCCAATTTCGGTGGTATTTAGCTTGTAAAACTCGAAAAAGGGCACCCGAGATTTTATTATTCTTTTCTTTTGCTAAGCGACGGTGAGGGAGAGTGTGAGAGAGACAGCGATAGAGAGAGAGAAGCCAGTGTGCCAATTGCGGTGTTATTTAGCTTGTAAAACTCGAAAAATGGCACCCGAAATTTTATTATTCTTTGCTTTTGCTAAGCGACGGTGAGGGAGAGTGTGAGAGGCAGCTGTCGAAAAGGAATAGCAATCCCGCACTATTAGGAATAAATCCCAATAATGCCCACGCGAGGGATTTGCCACCTATTCCTCCTACGACCCTTCACACTTCCCTATACACGGGTAGTCGGATCAGCGGAGGTCTGTAAGACTAATGTAAGCCAAGAAGACTGACCACAGACCATGAATGAGATCCCATGCGATTACCACTTATAGAGGACGAATAGGAGATAAACGGTTTATCTACCATATATACATACAATAAAGATAACTCTGGTGGTACACAATGAAGAGGGCGCCGCGCAGGGCGGGGAAAAGGGAAACAACTCTGGAGGTGGACGGGGAAAAGGTATTGGCTGTTGGGAATGCCTGTCTGATCCACGCTTAGCCATTCAACCCATTACTGGGATATTACGAGTGGTAGCTGGACGTACCGAATGGGAAGAATGCCCGTTCACAGTACCGACAACGAGTGATCTGGGGGTAAGGCGACTCCAAAGGACAGGCCCCGGAATGCCCATAAATCCCCCCTCTCTCTCGGGGGCAATGCGCTACGATGGCCCGGTCGCGGCGGGACCCGCCCCCCAGGGGATAGCATTATGCCATCGAATGTCACCGACCCAATATCCCTCGTAAAGTGGGTTATTGGTCGGGAACTTTCGACACTCGCGGCCGACCAAGATGGCCGACCACCACGGTGCTGGCGCTTCACCGGTTGGGGGTTGGATCTGGGCAGGACGCTGGCGGCCAACGAAGTCTCTGTAGCCAGGGGGATTGTAGGTGAAGTACTGTGATTCCGAAGAATCAGGGACGGGGAATTCTGTGATAAACTCGAAGGGTCGAGAGGATCAAGGGTGGGGACGTTCGGCTGGGGGGAAAAGCCAGATAACGCGAACGTATGGGACCGGGGGGGGGAAAGACTGGGGGTAAGACAAGGCACGAATGCCTAAAAAAGGGATACAGAAGAATCAACACGCCCTTAATGGGCCCGGACCCGACGTGTTGAAGGGAGAGGGACTACGAAAAACAACCTGGAAAGAAAAGAGGAGAGTCGTTGGTAGAAGACGTAGCGGCGAGGACGAGCACTTGAACACGGTCGCTTGAACGCTTGAGGTGACGATCGAGGACCAACACTTGACAGGCACATCGGCGGCTTGAAGGCGCTTCCGAGGCTTGACTTGATGGGCTTCTTGGTGTAGTTTTGTTGGCGTTCTGGATGTGAAACAAGGTGTTGGTGTGGACCGCTGGGTGTAATCAATACTACAAGTGTTGCTGTGCCTCTCCGATTTTCTCTCCCTGGATGTAAAACATAGTACTGTGTTGATGGATCCGGTATACAGAAGGGCGGAAGGCGAAAGAAAATCCCTCCTGTCCAGATCCAAACTGTGTGTGATGCAAAAATTTTGAAAGAAAAAAATCTGTATGTGTTTGCGAAAAAAGGGGAATCTGTGGGTGGGCGCGAGGAAAACAGGTTCACTCAGTAACGGCTTGAACCGCGTGACGGCTGCGAGTAAGGCGATCGCGTTCGAGGACGATCTCGGTCTTCCTGTTTTCGTCCAGAATTCTGCTTGCCGCTGGAGGAAGGTCCCTGAGTGCTTCCACGATCGGACTGCCGGTGGCTCGACGATGGTTGAGCTGGTTGGCCTTGAGGCGCAGCTGGCTGCCGGGGAGGAGGAGGCAGTGGAGGAGTTGGAACGTGACGAACTGGCGGTTCGGACGTATCCATACGCGAGGTTGATGGCGAGCCGCTGGTGGCAAAGTTTGTGACGACAGCTGTGTGTACAACCTGAAGATTTGGCTCCATCCGCGACTGTTTCTCATGTCGATCGCTGTTGCTGGAGGAAGGGCTGGGGCGTTTGACCTTGCCGTATCCGTAGATGGCAGCGAGGGCTATAGCCTGAGCCTTGCTCGATTCGACTTGTTGTGCGAGCGTCTGGACTGGTCGGTGTCGGATGGGCTGAGTGGGAGCTGCAGGCAGCTCCGGCTCTTTGTCGTTCAGGACTGGTTGTGCTCCACCGGCTTTTGCTAGCTTGAACTAGTCACGGCTGGTGCGAGGGTAGTTCCGCTCATCCCAATCAACAAGTTGAGTGAGGGTGGGAATCAAGTCGTCGACTGGTCGGTCGAAAAGCCCGAGGACAATTCGACGGAGGCGGCACCAGGGAACTTTGTGGAAGCTAGCGCCACAGTAGCGGCAGCGGTCTGTTTTGATCGGGTACAAGCAATGATTGTACTCGTGTCTCCGTCCTTCCGTCGTGCTGGGAGCTTCTGGATTGTTGACCCACGGGAACTTCCTTGCGCAGATGTGGCTGGTTTGATCCGAATTGCCTGGGCAGATGCGCTGTTCGCGGACGAGCTTCAAGAAGTTGCTGTATGTGTGCAACGACAAGCAGACTTCCGGACTGTGTTTGTAACTGCGATTCCCTAGGCATAGGCAGGTAGGGTTCGACCCAAGATGGTGCTGGGTTTCAATGTCCTGTTTGCAATATGCCGGAAGCTGCAGGTAAGCTTCAAGAGCTTGTCGCGGAGTTCTGTTTATGAATTCGTCTGGCGAACTGGCATAAAGAAAATGGTAGATGGCTTTCTGGATAACTGGGATTGTATTTCCGTTCGTGTTCACTTGCGATCGCGCAGAAGTTGTCGCTCATGCTCGCGTCTGTTTGAAAATTGTTTGATTTGCCTCTGAAGGTCGGCTCCAACAGCGTTCAGGATGTCCTGCATGCATTTGTTGATCGCTGTGTGGTGTTGTTGCTGGTAGTGATCCGCATCTTCGGCGACCTGGTGGAGCAGACTTTGCCAAGCACCGCGTGTGACATTGCTGGAAGCCCTACGGACCACATCTTCAAGGTCCGTATGGAAGCAGAGGCTGTGGACCGCCACACCGAGCAGGTTCGCGTTGTTTGGAATGCAGACCTGGTAGAAATTCCACACGTACTGGACGACTTTGGTCGCAGCGGCTTCAGACAGGAAGGATCTGAGGATCTCGCTGAAGGGACTGCCGTTCTCAACGAACAGGATCGGGCTGATAATGGACATGAGTTGGTAGTTGCTGAGGATGGCGATGTATCGACCACGGGTAACTGGGTTGCTTTGTTCAGCAACGGCGATCGCTGTGTGTACAAACACCCTGATGATTTCCTTGTTCTGTGGATCTTCGAAGAAGAACTCTCGGTGGCAGAATCTGGGTGAATGATCACGAAGCCATTTGATGCTGAGTCTGTTGTGATAACCCATTCGCGGCACCTTGTGGTGACTGAGCCACTCGACCTGGAGATCCTCCATTGAGAGGCACGGGACTGCTGACATCTGTTCTTGCGATTCGACTGCGATTGGTATGCGAGGACGCAATCCAACCGGCGTGTATAGCAATGCTTCGATGGAAGTATCTGGTAGTGGGGTGCCGTCTGGTTCTTGACTGCTGGGTGCCATCGCCCAGAACTCTGGAAGCTCTCCGTAGACTGTCTGTAAACGCGCCAGCTCTTCAGCTTCATCATCGGCCTGGTGTTGGATAGCCACAAAATCCATTGTTTCCGAGGCCATTCGATCCAGCATGTCCTGGATCTGCTGATTGTCGTTGACCTCTCCAGTGGCGTCCTGCATTTCTGTGCCCTCCCCCAGGAGACTGGGTTCGGTGTCCAGTGTGCCAATTTCGGTGTTATTTAGCTTGTAAAACTCGAAAAATGGCACCCGAAGTTTTATTATTCTTTTCTTTTGCTAAGCGACGGTGAGGGAGAGTGTGAGAGAGACAGCGATAGAGAGAGAGAAGCCAGTGTGCCAATTTCGGTGTTATTTAGCTTGTTAAACTCGAAAAATGGCACCCGAAATTTTATTATTCTTTTCTTTTACTAAGCGACGGTGTGGGAGAGTGTGTGTTGTAGTTGTGGGAGAGGTGGACGAAACGTTTATTCCAGGTAGAGGCAGACCAAGCGGGTGGTGAAAGATACAGAACAACCAGGGTTGAAAAGCCGCTACGCGGCTTTTCACCCCTGGCCTTCGCGCACGGAACTCTCAAAGTTGGGCACTTTCTATAATTCGAGCGAAGAGCGTGAGCGACTCAAAATAGTAACCGGCCGCTAGCGCGACAAAAATCGAAATGAGCCTCCTAGCACCTAGTATGCAAATGAGGATATTTCCATATGTTTTAAAATCGCTAAAATAAGATATAAACCGTCATTTTATTAAAAATCTGATAAGCTTGCAGTTCTCTACGCCCTCGACTACCCCTAAATACCTTTCGACTGGATCCTAAAATTGATCCCCCTTCCCGATATCTTGGTAACCCGGTTTTTTCGAGCCATTTATGCAAAGTGTCCACACACACACATGAACTATTTTTTATATATAGTAGGATGAGGGGAGCATCGACAAATGGGGGACAAAAGAACCGGAAATGTAGCGTATGCTAATTAGGTATTCGGATCTGGGATGTAGTCCTCCAACATCTCCCTCCTTGAAAGATGAGCGCTGCGGACGGTCGGACTTGAACGAGTTGAACTTGAGGTGGCGATGACGGCTTGACTTGAGGCGCGGAACGAGTGTGGGTGGCACATCAGTATGGGACCATTGAACTTGTCGGTGATATGGGTGCGCTTGACTTGTCGAGTGGAACACGAGCGTGGCGCATCAAAGTTGGAAGCGAACAGTCTTCTTTCGGTCGCGCTTGCCGTCGAGAATGGGTCCGAGGTTTTGCAACTCCTTGGACTTGACGTTTCGAGGGTGAACGTCTTCAGCTTGTCCGTCAGCAGTGGGTTGTCCTTGAGCACGTGAGTTGAGAGTACGGTCCGATGACGATTTCGTGGTACGTCCAGGGGAGGCCTTCTGATCCGGGATGGAACGATCCGATGACGACTTCGTGGTGCGTCCAGGGGAGGTCTTCTTATCCAGGATGGTGTTGTGTTGAGCGGGGTGATGGGGAACACGGGGCACAGGTACAGCAAGTGTGGGGGCGGGTACAGTAGATGTGGTATCGGTGGCCGTCGACATGTGGGTGGAATGGCCAAGAGGTGGACGAGTGTCCTGCACATTGACATCAGTACTGGGAAGATCGAATTCATCCAGAATATCGTGCAATACGTCTCGAACGTATCGACGACGCAGCTGATTGGCATGTCGGCGCCAAGAATCTCCAGAGGGAAGCTCAACCTCATACAGAGACTTTCCAAGTAGCTTGGAAATACGCCCTTCGACCCAGGCTGGTTTGTTCGGCTTTCGATAGTCGCGAACCCAAACCGTGGCGTCGATCTCAAACGATCTCTTGCGAGCACCGTGACGCCGGTTGTATTGCTCAACCATCGTCGTCTTCTGCTGTTTTTGAAGAACGACTTGGACCTTGCCGTTGCTCGATGGAAGAGCCAAACGCGCAATAGGAGTAACAAGCTTTCTCCCAATAAACAATTCAGCCGGAGAGAACTGTTGTGGTGAAGAGGGGCATGGAGTGGCCCGATACGTTCGCAAAAAGACTTGCAACGTTTCCGCATTCGTCGAACCAGCGGCTTTGCTCAGAGCGCGCTTAAAGGTATCGACGAAGCGTTCTGCCAAACCGTTCGACGGAGGGTGGAACGGAGGCGTCCGTACATGCTTTATGCCACGCTCCATACAGAACTCTTCGAACTCCTTCGAAGTGAATTGAGTCTATATATGGGTCGAAGCCCGGGGGCGCCGCCAGAGGCGCCTCCCGAGGCACCCCCCTAGGGGCGTGCCGAGTGGCGCCTGTGGCGGCGCCTGGGGCTGACCAAAAGGCGCCGGAAAACCGAGATGCAAAGCAAAAATGCGGTGTTATTATGGAAATGAGATTTGACTGCTGATCCTTAATATCAAAGAAGGCAAAAACTATTAGTTGACTGGCCTATAATTTTTTCCTGATCCTTTCGCATTGTAGAGGAAGGGGGTGTTTATGGGTGACCAACTTTTTTCTAAGGACCTTGTTTTCTAAAAGAAATAGTGGAAGCTTTCGAAACTGTTGTTATTATTCTTAAACGTAAAAACTTTACCAACTGCGACTGAAATACAAAAAAAATATAGATTTTTCTGCCAAAAATCCCCGATTTTCCAATCTCACTTTCAATTTCGAAAATTCTATCTAAAATTCCTTCCAATTTTTTTATTTTTTTCCACTTAAAAGTTAGTTAAATTTTACCAAAAACATTATTAAAAGGCTAACTATTACGTTACTAGGCTTTTCTGAAGTGCAAGAGAAAAGGTTATTTGCAGGTTACTCTCTACTGTCCGTTGCTCTTGCGCTTGAAATGAATAATTAAAAAAATTAGAATCGAAAATTTGCATAAACTCACTGGGCAATCGTCGTACGACTGGTTGCAACCTTACAATCGTGGATCTCTGGTCAACGAGAGTAGGCATCAACGAATACCAGGTACATTCTCCCGTCAATGGGACCTGCGTAGTCAATATGTACGCGTTCCATCGGACGATTGAGAACAGGCCAGGGGGTCAATTCACTTTTCACAGGCATCTTCTGCGCTTTCTGGCAGCCCTCGCATTCTCGGACAATGCGGTCGATGTCTGTATCCATGCCGATCCAATAGACATATTGTTTCGCAAGGAGTTTCATTCTGGTCTGACCAGGATGTCCTTCGTGGAGCATTTTCAGGACACGCGATTGAAGTCTCTTCGGGACGACAACTCGCTCTTTCAGGAATAGGCAACCCTTGTGAATTGACAAGTTAGAAACGAGACTTTTGAAGGCGTACAAGGACGAGACTGGCAAACAGTCTGGGAACGTTCCACTTTTCAGATATTCAATCACAGTGCCAAGACAGTAGTCCTGCTCCGTTTGTGATGCAATTTCCTTGTGCGAAATTGGAACTCGGCTCAGTTTTTCCTCAAAAACTGCTGAGACGTCGATTTCTATCTGCGAAATAACGACGTCTTCGTCAGGTTCAGCTCTTGGCGGAATCAGACGGGAAAGCGCATCCGCTTGACCGAACTTGGTCGTGTTACGATATTCGATGGAGAAATCGTAGTTGTTCAACAACAAGCACCAACGCTGCAATCGATTTGCGGTGTGCTGCGGAATGCCTTTTTTCGACCCGTATATTGGCAAAAGGGGCTTGTGGTCCGTCAGGAGCACGAAACGCCTTCCATAGATGTATCGATGGAAGCGCCGAATCGCGAAAATGAGGGCCAAGCCTTCCTTTTCGATCTGGCTGTAGTTCTTCTCTGCCACACTCAATGCCCTGCTGGCATGCGCGATGGCCTTTTCCGACCCATCCGCAAATCTGTGAGTGATGACCGCCCCAAGACCCTGCTCACTGGCATCAGCGGCGACGACAATGGGTAGCTTGGCGTCATAGTGACAGAGCAACAAGTCGGAGATGACAATCTCCTTGAGCGACTGGAAAGCCTTTTCGCAGTCCTCATGCCAGACAAACTTTTTGTCCTTCCTCTTCAACTCGTCAAGCGGGGCGCGCATCTGCCGCATACGAGGAATGAATGACTGGTAAAATGATACCATGCCCAAGAAGCTTTCAACTTCCTTTAGACAGGTAGGTGATGGCATACTTGCTATCGCAGCCGTGCGTTGGCCATCCGGCCTTCGGCCTTGGGCATCAAGAATGAAGCCAAGATACTTCACCGAAGGCTGGCCGAACGAGCACTTTTCCATTTTGACGCGCAATCCGAACTCTTGGATTCGCTCAAACAAACGACGGACCCTGTCGTCATGCTCCTCCTGGTTCCGGCCGGTGATCAACAGATCATCCAGGTAGGCAGCGGTCCCGTCTAGGCCTGCGATCAAGTTATCCACAATCTTCTGGAATATTCCGGGTGCCAATTTGACTCCGAATATCAGCCTTTGATATTGGAACAAGCCCTTATGAGTGTGGATTGTCAGGTATTCTTGGCTCTCAGCCTCAACCTCAATCTGTAGGTACGCATCTTTCAGATCAATCTGCGAAAAGATCTGTCCACCATTCAGCTTGGTGAAGATGTCTTCGGCGGTTGGGAGCGGATGATGGTAATCCTCCAACGCCTCATTCAAGCCTGTGGAGAAGTCACCACAAAGTCTCATGGTACCGTCCTTCTTCTTGACTGGTACGACGGGCGCGGCCCACTGACTGTAAGTGACCGGTTTGAGGACCGTCAACTGTACAAGTCGGTCGATTTCCTTCTCAATGGCAGCTTCCATTGAATACGCGACCCGTCGGAACGGTAGGAAAACTGGCTTTGCATCAGGCTTCAGCTGAAGCTCAGCCTTGGCCATTGTGCACAAGCCCAGTCCATCTTGCGAGACACTTGGGTACTTCAGGACCAGCTCCTTCTCGAGCATTGACTCTTCCAGTGCGACCTTGTTCACGCACAACTCATCGAAGCACGAAGCGAACTGTGGCAACTGATTTATCCAATCAAGCGCCATCAATCTGATGTTCTTCGTGACAAAGCACTTGCCATGACCGACAATGCCTTTCAATTCGAAATTGGTATCGAAGCTTCCTTGCACTTCAATTGGACCGCCATTGGCAGCTCGTAATTGAATATTGGATGGAATCAGCTGGGGGCAGTTCAATTTGCGCCAAACAGCTTCATCGATGATGGTGACGGCTGCACCAGTATCCAATTGCAAAGTGAAGCGAACGCCTTCGATT